CCCCCCCCCCCCCCCCAAATAAAACAGGGTTCTGTAGCTTTTTTGCTATATATATTTTTGCATTTCATTCTGCCGCAATAGCGGCATTGCATGGGCGTTGTCCGTCCGGCCGTCTGGCCGTCCGTATGGACGACCCCTACGGAGACCCCCGGTATGACGCATGGGGGACTATACTGAGCATACAATATATTGTCACAGAACTATTGACTAAGAGCATGAGCACGTGAAGTAGAAGAAGAAATAAGATGAGCAAAGAAAAGAAAAATGAAAGGACAGACAGGCAAAGAGACAGACAAACCAGAATGACACTTTGTTTCACAGTATTATTATTTCTTTCAGTGTTTTAAAAAAAAAAATTACACTGAATCAAAGGATAAAAATCAGAAACAAAGACACATTGAAATCATTCAGTTTCTCAGTCTTCTTAACACCTCCACTGTGCCTCTAACGTACAAGGCTCGCCACGTTGATGAAGTTGAGCGCGAGCTGCCCCCATCCCCGTATGCCATAACAGCCCACTTGCACGCTATGGGAAAGAGGCAGAGTGAAGGAAGAGGTGTCAAAAACAAGGGAGAGAGGAGCAGAAAAGGAAAATCGATAGGCAGAGGGAGAAAAAATAAAAATAAAATAAGGGTGACACAAACATCTTCTTTCTTTTACTGCATTCTTCTTTCTTTCACAGTTTTGCAGTTTTGGTGAAGAGTCTACCACGTTCATTTTTCAGCGCACCTGCACTTCCTATTGTCACAAAGTTATCAGAGCGCAAAAGCGAAAAAAAAAAACAAAAGGAAACAAAAAAGATATCAATTAATTTTTAATCTTCTTCCTTACAACTCCCCCTGCTCAGAACCTCTTGCGTACAAGGCTGCCCAGGTTGAGTGGCGACTTCCCCCACCCCCGTGTGACATATTGACCCACTTGCACACAGCCAAAGGGCAAAGAGGCAAAGAAAAGAGGAAGGGAACAGCCAAATACAACAAAACAGGGGGCAACAAGCAACAGCACTAAAAACGGATTCTAGATGACAAGTCCCACATGCAAGCACCGCCCCTCCTTCACAGGCCAAGCGTCGGGACAAGACCACCCAGGACAAAACTCCTGTCTGCAAAAAAAAAAAAAAAAAAAAAACTATATACAGCAGATGGCCTTATTCGTCATCAAGACGTGGGTATTCCCATCCCTAACCATTCATGCTCTCATAGGCCGAACAACAAAAAAAACCGGACGACTGGTCCCACATGAAAGCACCGCTACGCTCGCCAAAATAGACCGAACAACGGGACAAAACCAACCGGGATGCAGACAAGGGTGCCAAAAAACAAACATAACAGATCCTAGATGACAAGTCCCACATGCAAGCACCGCCCCCTAAGCCACAGGCCAAACGACGGGACAATGACCAACCAGGATAGCAATCAACACCCTTGCCTGCAAAAAAAATATATAAAGACAATCCCAGATGACAATTCCCACCTAAAAGCACCACCCCCTTCGAATGGCCAAACAACAGGAACCAGCCAACTAGGATGCCAAAAGGGAAAAAAAAACGGATGACAAGTCCCACATGAAACACCGACAATTTCAAATCTGAGAGCCACAGAGACATTCAGAACTCATGGGAACTTGTCACACCTAGTCGTGGTTTCGGGAAAGGAGGGAGTCAATCTGCTGGCAATAAGAAAAACAACATGGCTACATTCTCTGGAACAAAGACTGAGAATGGGTTCTGATTCCCATTCCAGCAGTCAAAGCTACTTCACATTCATTCACACTCACCTTCCCCCCTGGAAACGATTTGATCTTCCATAAAAGTGCTTCCCGCTCTGGAGCATAAATTGCTGTCCCCATGGACGTACGCACACCAGGGCAAGTGGCATCAGCTGGCACCGGGAGCTCGATCTCCACACTCGTTGCTGTGCTGGAGTTGCCAACAAAATACCACAAGCATTCAAAATTTAATTCAGTTCGTAGGAATCGACTCCGATCCAAATCAGCAGAACTCACTGCACAAATGCAGCCTTCACCACAAATCTACTGACATCAACTCGCATCAAGCCAATGGTTTACCACACTGCATGATTGCTGATTGTGGCTGACCTTTTCTGACATAACTGAAGCACCAAGTCTTTGCCAACACCAACTCTCACAGACACAGACTCAGAAAAGAGCACCAACCGTGAGCCTAGCCTGCCCACAAGCCACCACCTTGCTCTCTCTCCCTCACAGACACAGACTCA